CTCTTTTTACTATTGTCAACACCAGTCCTTTGTGAATGGCCACGATTCCTAGACACAGGTGTGCTTCTTCCAGAGGCGAACTCACAAAATTTGAAACGAAAAATTGTCTAATTCAGTCCCCAAATTTTGAAGTTTACGTTACTCGAAAATAATAATACTAGTCTCTCTTGACTCATATATACTTTCTTCTGCTTCATCTTTCTCAATTTCAATTTAGTCAAAATTAATCACCACCCCGGCAGAACGGCACGGGAGGTACTTAAACATGGCGTCCAATGTCCGTAGAGTTTTTTCTCCCTCTCCCAGCAGTCAAGTTCACCACTGGAACTTCAGCAAAACGGAGTAGTGCTAGGGTGAACCGAGTGGCTGATACTAAGGGTGAAAAGGGGGCGAGAATAATGTGGGGGGGGGAGGGTTAAGGGAAGTCAAGAGAGTGTTTGGTGTCCGTACGAAGGGAAGGGAGAGGTGGTAGGGAAGGGAGAGGGTGGTAGGGAAGATAGGGAGGGGAGGGGGTAGAGAAGGGGATATGACGCGTCTCTGATTTCGAAGCTTCGTATATAATAGGACACTGATAAGATAAAGAGATAGGGAGAAGGACACGATAAGATAAAGATATGGGGGAAAAGAACCTTGATGAGACACGAGATATGGAGGATGACGCTGATAAGATAAAGAGAACGGGAAAGAGGCGTCCATAAGTGGATCAAAAGCGAGTGTAAGGGTGAATAAGATACGATAAAGGGGGAAGGGAGAAAGGGAGAGAGCACGCGAAATAAAAGAGTTGGAAACAGAGAACCTCTGATGCATTTTTATACGCACGCTAACAATCAAAAACCTATAAATAAACGAATCATTATCATATTCAAATCTGAATCATTAGCAATTCCTTCCTAATATGATAGTTTTGATATCGCTAGTGCTTACATCATTATCATTAGTAGGAGTAGTATAAATACCATAATTATGACCTTCATTATGACCATAAATTCGTAATTTGATGTCAGTGTGCAAGATTTTAAAACATCGAAAAAAAGAAACTGTAAAAAAATTATATATAATTTGTTTCTGTGTTTTGTCTAGTTCGTAAATGAACAGAAAATAAATTTTGATTTTATTTCTGCTTGACTCCTGCAATCACGCTTTAAATCACGAAGCTAAGAGGACGCATGTGTAGGGTAACGAAAACACATGTGTACGTGAAAGTGCTTGTGCGTAGACACAGTGTACGTGGATGTGTATCAGAGTGATATGGATAAGCTTACATATCTTTCCTGAATATCACTCAAGAAAGTGCCTATCCACGACCCATTAAGAAAATGTGCGTGCGAGTGCGTGCGTGTCTGTCTGTGCGAACGCGTGTGATCGTGTACGTGCTTCATCTGTGGCCGTGTACGTGCTTCATCTGTGACCGTGTATGTGCCTCATCTGTGCAAGCGCGTGCGAGTCTGCCTGAGCGACCGTGCCTGTCTATACGAGCGTGTACGATTTTTTTACAAGCCTCCCTGAGCGAATGCATGACTAGTCTTATCTTGTGCCTGTGCGAGTGTGTGCGCGAGTTTGCCTGTGCGTCTGGCGTGCGTGTGTATGTCCAAATAACTCGACCGGACCAAAAATAACTCTCTAATGGTCTGGATTCGAGACATTACATCAAAGAGAGAGCTTCCGTGTCTCAGACGAACTTCGGGGCAATCTGGAGACTGTGATTCCGCGGGGAGGAATAAAAAAATGGAGGAGCAAAATCGAGAGAAAGGGGATAGAAGATGAGATAAAGGAGGAAGAGGAGGAGGGGGAGGAGGGGGAGGAGGAGGAGGAGGAGGAGGAGGAGGAGGAGGAGGAGGAGGAGGAGGAGGAGGAGGAGGAGGAGGAGGAGGAAGAGTAAGAGGAAGAAGAAGAAGAGGAGGAGGAAGAGGAGGAGGAGGAAGAGGAGGAGGAGGAAGAGGAGGAGGAAGAAGAAACGAAGGCGGAAAAGAGGAAGAGGAAGAAGAGGAGGAAAAGAGAAGGCGAGCAAAGAAGGGGAAAAAACAGAATGTGGAGGAGGAGAAAGCAAGAAAAAAACATTTTTTTTTTTTTTTAGAAACAGACATCTCCATTGGGGAAAGGGAAGAGCAGAGAGGAAAAAGGAAGAAGGAGAGAGGAGAGACGGAAGAGAGAAGAGGGGAAAAAGGGCATGGCAAAAGACGAAAGACGGAAGAAGGAAGAGAAATGATGAAAGATCTAAAAAATGAGAGATAAATCTGATAAAAGATACGATGAATCAAACCACTGAAGGAGAAATATCAGACCGAGAGAAAAAAAAGAGCAAGAGATCGAGAAAGAGCAAGAAAAAAAAAGGGTGTTGGGTCTTTTCGAAAAGCGACCTCGCGTCACAGGGGGGGCGCCGCACCCTTAAAGAAGATAGAAATGACAAAAGCCTCGCAGAGTACTATCAGGGGGGGGGTATGGGAGAGGGGGGGTAAGGGGGAGGGGGACACCTCACCGTCACACAGGAGGGTATTCGGGGCACCTTGGAAGGGGGGCGAAGGGGGAGGGAGGGGGAGGGGAGAGATGTGGGGAGCGGGGAGCAGCTGTGGTGATTCTTCTATTAATATAGATATATATACACATATACAATATATATACATATATATATATAAAATTATATTATATAAAATACTAATTCGGTAATTTTCCCCGCAAAAAGAAATATCCATAAAACATTATTCTAATTTACACACACGTCATCACCTTCAATTATACCAGCTCCCCCCCTATCCTTTCCCCACGTGATCCCTCTTCCCTCCCCCTCCCCCCCCCACCTCCCCACGACCGCAATAACCCCTAGCTAAGTCCCATTCTGAGCACCATGTTAAGCTGGTGTGGAGTGCGGCCTACGAGTGAGTTTCTTTTAAGTCGCTGTGCTAGCAAAATGACGCAACTTGAATGTCTTTTGTTCTTTTTTCTTTATTTACCTTCTTTTTAAGGTTCATTATCAATGCTACAATTTATTTTATTTCTCTTGGCTCCGAGAAGATAAATTAACAGAAAACGTAAGAAAATATAATTCGATCGTTTTCGACATTTGAAAATGATTATCTAAAATTACCCGCATCTGATACAGGAACTAACATAACCGACACTGATACAAAACGATTAAATACAATCGTAAACCAACGAACAACAACAAAATAACCTTCCTTCTTGAACCCATTAACCGCCATAACCACAAATATCATCAAAACATGACCCCGATATTACACAAGCCAGCGGTCAGATTGCTAAGCACAGCCTGAAAAGTGAAGGGAAGGGGGAATCGCAGAGTACTATCAGGGGGGGGTATGGGAGAAGGGGGGTAAGGGGGAGGGGGACACCTCACCGTCACACAGGAGGGTATTCGGGGCACCTTGGAAGGGGGGTGAAGGGGGAGGGAGGGGGAGGGGAGAGATGTGGGGAGCGGGGAGCAGCTGTGGTGATTCTTCTATTAATATAGATATATATATACATATACAATATATATACATATATATAAAATTATATTAAATAAAATACTAATTCGGTAATATTCCCCGCAAAAAGAAATATCCATAAAACATTATACTAATTTA